GGGTTTTTTTTGAGACACAGTCTCACTGTGTAGTTCAGGCTGGACTTGAACAATGTATTCCAGGCTGGCCTTAAACTTTTGGCAATCCTCTTGCCTCAGCCTCCTGAGTGCTGGAGTTACAGATGTGCACCACCATGCCTGGCTGATTATCCAAGTTCTAAGAATACATTAAAGGCCTTCATAAATATAATAACTTTTATGGAGCCTTTCCTTTTACTCACACTATGTACTATTTCCACGGAATACCCATAGCATTATGCCTACTTCTTCTCTTCTACTTTGTATTTAATTATTTCATGTTTCTCTTCCCACTCAATTGTAACTTCCTTGACAATAGGCATCATGCCTTACTAATGTGTATCCCTTTTCCATCATTATCTGATGCCTGGTTGAATATTGTGTACATAGTAGCTGCTCAATCCGTGGAATGAATAGATAAGTGAAAAAGTATACTCAACAGAAGAAATGGGGACTTGTTAGAATTCAGGAATTGGAAAGTAAAATTTTCCATCTCAGCCAGCTTTTCAAATTTTTATTTACTACTCATGCACTTTGGAATTTTAGTTTCTGTAACTGTCTCTCTTAGTATGTCCTAGGTACTATCCTAGACACTATGGATACAGTTAGTAGAAAAATTAGACAAAAAGCCCTGCCCTCAGAGCTTATTGTATGTGAAGGAGAAAGACAGTAAGTTAAATATGTAAAATATATTCTAGTTTAGATAGTAGTAATTAATAAAAGGAGGGATTGACAGTGATGGAAAAGGGCAGTACGTAAGATGGCCAAAAGGAAGATGTTTGAGTCAACGGAGTTTGCTTTTTTGTTGTTGTTACATTTTATTTTATTTTGTATCTTATTTTAATTTAATTTTATTTTGGGATATGAGTATTGAGAGAGGGTCTCACTATGTAGTCTAGGCTGGCCTTGAACTTACTCTGTAGCCCCAGACTGGCCTTAGACTCATGGTGATCCTCCTGCTTCAGCCTCCCAAGTGCAGTGATTACAAGCATGTGCCCCTATACTCGGATACATTTTATTTTTAAATAATTTCAGACTTAAGAAAAGTTGTAAAAAAAAAAAAAATAGTTCAGCTAAACACTTTATCCACTCTCCCCTAATGTTAACAGTTGGTTTAACTATAGTATAGCAGTGGCAAACCTCTGGCACGAGTGCCACACCAGGCTGTTTTGTATCATTGAAAGCTCTAAAAGTTTCGCCATCACTGCTATAGTACAATGATCATAACCCAAAAATTAACATCAGTACATACTGTTAACCACATTACAGATCTTATTTGACTTTTACTATGTTTTTTTTCCCAAGACCCTTTCTTCTGTTCCAGCATCCTGTCCAGTATCTCACACTGTTTAGTTGTGTTTCCTTAATCTCCTCCCATCTGTGGCTCTCAGCTTTTTCTGTCTTTAATGACCTGGACATATTTTATGAGCGTTGGTCAGTTATTTTGTAGAAATGTCTCTCAAATTAGAATTTTCTAATGTTTACTCATGACTGCTGAAATTATGCATATTTGGCAAAAACACCACAGAAGTGACGTGCCCTTCTAAATGCATCATGATCAGGAGGCGCGTGATGGTACCATGTCTCATTATGGGCATGTTGCCCTTGATTGTTTGGTGAAGGTGGTGTCTACCAGGTTTCTCCAGTGAAAAATGACTGTTTTTCTTCTCTTTGTAATTTATTAACATTTTGGGGGTGATATGTGCAGTCTGTGCTGGTGTCCTGTTTCTTCTCAAAGATTTGCCCACTGATTTTATCATCCATTGGTAGATCTTTTTTATGTAAGTAATAATTTATTGTTTTGTTTTGTTCGTACCAGGAATCGAACTTGGGGCCTTGCCGCTTGCGCAGCAGGTGGCGAAACCACTGAGCTAAATCCCCGGCCCTAAGTAATAATTTATTACTGTGGTATTCAGGGGTCGTTTTTTATTTCATTCTCTAGGTTATAGTTCAGTACTAGAGTGTGTTATTTTGCTGCTTGTATTGTTCTAGCTTTGGCCAGTGGGGCTCTTCCAGATCGGTTTCTGTGACCTTCAGTGTGCCTGTCTTGTTCTGACTTATAAATACTGACCTGAAAGTGAAATGAATTGTGCTATGTAGGCCTCATATTTGAATGCTATTGTGTTCTTCCTTTTTCACACTATGCTCAGAAAGAAATGGTTCTTTATGCTTATGACAGTGACATATAAATGAAAATATAACTCGTGTTTTAAGATTATGGCTAAATAGAGAAATTGATTGATCTATGGGAGGTCCATGGCAAGTTAACTGTTAGAGTAAGATTCTTTTGGAGCCCTGGTCCTGGGTAAATCCCTTAAATGAGCCAATTAATTTTGTTCTGCAACATAACAAGAAATTATATTCCTCAGCCCAGCATGCCACCTCACTCTGTGTGGCAAAAGGAGGAAAGATGTATGATTCAGTTTAAAAACAAAAACAAAAGAATCTATCACCAGTACTAGGAAAAGAAACTAAAATTACATTTACTCATGGATAGTGAGTCATCCTCAATTGGGTTAAATGATAGCATATTATTACCACAGATGTTACTAGGGGAAAAAAGGCCATTTATCCTTTAATCAAGCCTTATCTTAATTATTTTAATCATCTTTTTGGATTGAGAGTTTATAATAAAACGAATCACTTAAAACCTGAAAACCTCTGGAGTTTAATTCACAGAATACTATGGTATTTAAAGTTAATTGAAAATTCAAGCTGTGTGTTGATAATATTTGTATTATACCACATGAGAGCACTTTATAGTCTTTTTTGGGGTGGTTTACTAATATATACTGATAAAATAATTGTTGAGTCTACAATAGTTTTGTACATGAGATTGATATGAAAGAGTTGGTTTCAAATTAAGATGTTGTTTTCAGGGGCCAGGGATTTAGTTCAGTGGTTCCGCCACCTGCCTCGCAAGTGCAAGGTCCCAAGTTTGATCCCCAGTACCAAAAAAAAAAAAAAAATGTTGTTTTCACAAGCTCTCTATGAAAAAACAGAATAGTGTATATTTACTGTTTTGTCTGTCTTAAAATATATACATGAAATGTTAAAAAGTTAGGGTTCTAGGCCAGGGATTTAGTTCAGTGGTTCCGCCGCCTGCCTCTCAAGTGCAAGGACCCAAGTTCGATCCCCAGTACCAAAAAACAAAAAAAGTTAGGGTTCTTTCCAACTGTTTAATGGGTTACTGAGAGGATCGCAGTGCTCCTTACTTATGAATTTGCCAGGGAACATCAAGTGACACAGTTAGGTCAGAAGTTTTTGATGTTTCCTTTGCATTGTAGAACTAAAACCAGTTTTTTAGAATTATTCTTCTCATTTTGAGCAAGTAAACATTAAGATCTAAAAGCCCATGACGTAGTAACTGACTTTCAACCAAATAAAATATTTTTCAACAAAATATTATTTGACACAGCCTTCTAAAATATTTGTATAATATCCTGTGTGAGAATATATACTCTTGGGGTAAAACTGTCTATTCAGTTAAACAACTTGGTTAGTCAGAGTAAATAATATTAATATCATTCTAAACAATCTCTTCTTACTGGTATTCCATGAAGTCTGGGAAAAGTAATATTAGGTAATTATTTTTTCCAGACCCTCCTGCTTTAACAGAGACCTAAAGAATAAGCTCTGAAATCCTAAGTTGCTTATTTCTCGTTCAGGGCTTGGAAGAAAATAAAGTTAGTATGTCCTCTGGGAGCTGAGTTAGAAGCCACAGCTCAAAACTGTCACTGTCTACGTCCACAACAGGACACGTTCCTGGCTCCCATGTCACCTGCTGTGGAGCAGTTTGAATGTCATGGAGATGGGGCACAATTCATCCTGTTCCACTCATGTTCACTACCATACCTCCTCATATTTGATTATATAAAGTTCCCAGGTTCCCTCTTTTTGTTGATTTAGTGAATTCTCTATGTTATTAAAGGATTAAGACTTTTACCTAGTGTTTGAAAATTAGTTGATGCTTTTTAAGGGTAATTAACCAGAAGTTAACTTCTCTTTTAATCCGAATAAGAAGCTATGGAATAATGTCATTGACATTAGCTAAAATTTTACTGAAAACACTTTATAAACCATAAGAATTAAAAGTGATAACCAGTTTCACACTAAAGGACTTTTAAAGCCTTCGTTTCTTAAATGCACTTTTTAGAATACTATTATCTTTAGTTGCATAAAGTGAAATATAGGAAGTTACACTAACCAAAATTTTAAGAGGTTTTTCATAGCTTCTTAATACTGACTTGCTTTAAAACTTTCCCCTTTCTTCCACTGAGGGTCATCCGCCTCCCTCTCCCCCCAGATGTCTTTATTTCTTTGCCAGAACTGATTACCTATGCCTTACAAATAATATAATTTACAAGTGTAGTTTAACTGTTTATCCCACCCACAGCTAGTTATTTTACCCTACTTTGAACATGGCGTTGCTAGGACATCAGTAAGGGAACAAAGGCACATAAAATATCACCTCTGCCCTCAAAAAACATATCATATTTCAGGAGAGAAAAGGCACACCCTTGCAAAGATGACTAACAAAGCAGGGCAGTTTGTGTTATGTGTCAAATTAATGGTATAGAAGTTAATTTCTGAAGGAGGGAACAGAGACATTGCTGGGCAGGGCTAGTCAGAGAAGGTTGGACTTGACCTTCTCTGTCTTGAAAAGATGGTAAGGTTTCCATGGGCAGAGATGAAAGAGGAGAAGAACAAGCAGAAGAAATCCATGTGTAAATAGAAGAGCAGGCCCTAGGCAACTTCAGCTTAGTGTCCTACTGAAACAATAGGACTCCTTTAATTCCCTTTGCTGAATTAATGTAGCTTTTGTCATTTAATAATATTATAAAGTCATTACACCTTTGGCTTCCAACTTTTTGACTACTCTTCCCAGTTGTATCAGTCAGTGCTTACTAGAGAAACAGACGTAATACAAGATATACAAATATATAAGAATTCACAAAATTATCTTATTTGGCCGCCCACAGAGTCAGGTGAGAAAGAGTGCAAAAGGGCTGTCTGCACACAGAAGATCTGACAGGTCCAGTCAAAGGCCTGGAGCTCAGTGTAGTGTCCCGAGTGAGTGCATATCAGGAGTCCGAAGGGTCTGCATTGGAGGCTGAAGGGTCTTTGCTGGAAGCCAGGAGACAACATCAAAGCTGAAGGTGAAGACTGAAGATCCTCCAAAGAAACAGAAGTGAGCTTTCCTTCTTAATTTCTCCTTTATTCCATTCAGCAACCACAAGCAACCCTCAAATGTCTTCTATCTTTAGTAAATCCCCTCAGCCACACTGAGAACTATGCTGATCCAATTTAGTTGGGCATTTCTTAATTCAAGCTGACCCAGTTAACTATCACACCAATAAAGATACATTTTGCACCACAGTTCAGTACGCACATTTATATATAACTGAAACAAAAATTTTATAAAACAATACTTATAAATGTGATGGGTTCTGATATTTTCTTTTTTAATTGCTCATAAGGCAATTAAATTTTTTTAATAATCCACTGTTATTTAGTGACTCAGTTAAAAAATTTGTAAATCAGTGGCTTTCAAAATGTGATGCTTATACCAGAATCATCAGCATCTCCTGAGGACTGGTTAGAAATACAGGTTCTTAGGCCTCACCCTAGAAGACATGGGCCTGGAACCCAGCAAAAAGGCCCTGTACTTTGCAGTGGGAACCTATTCTTTAACAAGCATCCACTTGCATGCTCTAGTTGGAGAAAGCCAGCACCAGAGAGTTCCTCCACTCACGCCTGTGCTCTCCACCCTTAGAACCTTGGCCTGGGTCACTCTCCCTCCAGGTATCTGAATGCCTTGCTCCTGCACCACCTTCCAGTCTACTCATTGAGGCCTCCCCTGGCCTCCCCATTTGAATCCCAGCACTCTCAATTTGCCTAACCCTGCTATACTTTTTCTTCTTCCACAGCACTACTCACCTAACATGCTGAATAATTATTACCATCCTGCCAGATGGTATAAGCTCCAGGAGGGCAGGATTTATTTGTATGTTTTGTTCATTGAGGCCTCTGAAGCATAGCTTAATGATCCTAAGCATTTTAATATTTGCTGCATGGGAGGGAAGAAAAAATGGACCTGTTGACCTGAGTGATGGCCTGAAGTGCTGCTTCAAGAAAACATTCTTTGGGGCTGGGGATTTAGCTCAGTGGCACCATGCCTGCCTTACAAGGTCCTGAGTTCGATACCTGGTACCCAAAAAAAACCCTATTCTTTGGAGAACAGCTCTCCATAGATCTTGAAAGTTCAACTTCCAGTCCAAAATGTGATAGAGAAGCCAGATTACCACTGGAGGCATTGCCATTATTGAAATACCATACCTACTTAAATGTCTAATATTATTTCATATTCATGCATTCTTATAAAGCTCCAAAACCCCAATGTGAAGACCTCTACTTTAGTACTCCTCATCAGTAAGGCAGTTCCTTTGTAAATTGACCTTAGTAGTTTCTCAGGATTCTCTTCTTGGCTGTTCACTGCAGGGATTTCATTATAATCCAGATAGTGAATATTCTGATTTCTGTTTATTATATTAAATTTGTATGGAATTAATATGAGAAAATGAAAAAATGGAAACAAAGTATAAATAGGGCGGGATGGAAGGGTTGAAGGGAGGGCAGGGGAAGGGGGAAAAAATAAGAACGAAGAGAGTAATGTAAAGGTGCATATCTCCAATGATGAATGTCATTATATTGTACACCTAAAATGTACCAATAAAAGGATATACCAAAAAAAAACTAAAATAAATTTGTGAAGTGATTTCATTTTACTCCATTTCTGGATCTTCCTCAGAAAATACACAGAGCATGGTGGAACTATCAGTCTTATACAGTGTTCTGAGTAAAAAGCCACTGTGATTTTTCCTGATTGATTTCTGTCTGTCTTCTCCAATGTAGATAGAGGCTACATGTTTTGGGGTTCTGACAAAAACTGACAGGAGGCTATGGCCGTTATGTACAATTCTGGTGCGTGGCAGGTCCTACCAGCCCAGCAGCTTACAGCTTCTTCAGATTCAATCTGCTGCTCACTTTAAACTACTTTACACCAAGTGTGGTAGTACACTCTGGAAAGGTGGAACAGAAGGATCACAAATTAGAGCCCAACCTGGGCAATTAGAACTTAGTGAAACACTGTCTCAAAATAAAAAACAAAAAAGTACTAGGAATTTAGCTCAATGTGAAGGGCCTGGATTCAATCCCCAGTACCACACACAAAAAAAACAAGAAACAGAAAAGAGCCTCCTTTAATTGTTTGGCATGGTATCTCATACCTGTAAGACTAGCACTGACTGGGGCTGATATATGAGGATTACAAGTTTGAATCTTTCATAGTTTTATTTTGAGACCCTGTCTCGAAGTAAAAAAGGGCTGAAGATGTAGCTTAGTGATAAAGTGCCCTCACACCAAAAATAAAAAATAAAAATAATTGTGCCAGTGACCTTGTTTGATGCTTTTCTCCTATATTTTTCAACATTTCAGATTTTTTTAAACTGATTTTCTCTTCTCTTTGGACTATTGTTATTTTTTACTTCTACTTAGGAACTAAGAAGTATTAAGCATAAAGAAGACAATCTGTACTGGCCATCTGTCCTTAAAAACGGACATTAGCTACATTTCTGCCATTTTTTCAAACACAAAATGATCTCTGCAGAGTTTGACAGAGTGTCTCCCTTTCCATTCTAACCCTTCTTCAGTTTTCTGAACCGTTAAAGATAACCAGATCATTCTTTTTTATAAGTTACTTATGCCTTCTCTGGAAAAATAAGCACAGGGTCATCAATACCTCTGGAAACTGCCATAATAATGCATCTCCTGAGTTTTAGGACCATTCATTCCCCATATGAGATGTTTGATGTTATGAAATACTTGATCTCAAATGCACATGTGTACATGCACACACCCACATTTTCAGGCTCTCCAAGTCACCAGTTTTACTCACTGAAGAGGGACCAAATGGGAAATGTTAGTCAATCACAGTCCCCCCACTGAGTTTCTCCGAGTAATTTTTTAGTACAGGGACTGTAGGAAAGCACAGTAGAACATCCATAATGTTTATACTGGAGTCATTCCTGTCTTGGCCTTTTCTGAAGTTGAATCTGGTCACACTGATTCTCCATGCATGAGGATCTCAATTAACACAGTTGCCTGGAGCACTGTTTTCAAATACAGGTTTCTGGTTCTTACCTTAAGACATTCTGAGGCAATAGAGTCCACTGATGAACTCAGGAATCAGCCTTTTTTGTTTTTGTTTTTTGTGGGGTTTTTTGATACCAGGGATTGAACTCTGGACCTTGCACTTGCCAGGCAGGAGACGGAACCACTGACCTAAATCCCCAGCCCAGGAATCAACCTTTTAAAAAAGCTCTTAGACTGATTCTTATAACCTCCTAGATTTGAGAACCACTGTTGTATGGCCCAGTTTTCACCAGTTCCCTGCCCTTACAAAAACTGGAAATGATGGCCAAGATTAACAGACTTTATGTTATTCGAGCTGTTTTATCTCACTTTCTACAATAGACAAAGAGCTTTTATTTCATGAACTTTAAAATAAATTTCTTTAAAATAGAAGATTTCTTATACATATAATCCAAATATCATTAACAAAGTCATTCGTCTTTTAAATGCTGATTCCTCTTTAGCTCAACTTCTTTCTCTGTTGTTTACTATCCAGGTACATTTATTGAGCACTTGCTCTATTCCTAGTGCTCCGCTGGGTAATTTTACACAGATATTCTCATTTGTCTTCCCAGCACCTCTCTGAGGTATCAGGATAATTTCTTTTTTGCAAGTAAGGAAACTGAAGGTAAAGAGAAGCTTGCCTAAGATTATTTTAGTGCCTTTGGTCTTTGAGCCATAAGTTTCAGCTATTGTATTTTGGGGGGTTTTTTCCAATCTTAAATTTTTGCCCCTCCTAACTCACATAACTCATTTACCTACTCGATCAATTTATTTAGCTTGAAGCATTCATAATACACCAGATTAAGTTTTGAGTGTGAAAATATCTGTGCACTGTGTTGTAATCTCTGAAACGTCTGAAAGTTGGACTTGTTAACACAGTGTCTAGAGAACATTAGGCCATACAGTTAACATAGAAACACACTAAACATGCAGTGGTGTCATGACATATTTACTCTCAGGGTACTTGTTGATAAAGTCAAGCCCATGATATTGATTAGAATTGTTACATTGCAGGGTCCGTCAGCGAATTGGGGGTGGCATAAACATTTGGTGTATAGCACGTAGTTCTCCAAACCATGGTTTCAAATGACCAAGGGACCCACGTTCACAGAGTGAGGGCTGCTCTAGAAAATGTTGATTCTCTTCATTAAAGATACAAATATGTATGATTTCATCTTTAGATCCCTGCTATTAGTTTTAATAGAATTTTCTTTGATGAGAAATTTGTGATTCACAAACTAAAATGTCATAAAGAGAGAATCTACTATGGTAGTTAAAACCAGTTAGAACCAGTTATCATTATTTATCTTTCCCAACCTTGACTATTCTATTAGATTGGCCAGTTGAGTGGCGCTGAGATTGTTTCATCACTTATGTGTTACCATTCAAGACATTTACTTCAGTCTTTACAAAATATTTTGTACTATTAGTTATGCCAAAATGTAATAGTTCGCAGATAATTACAAATTATTATTTTAATAGATAAGTGAAGAATGAATTATTTTTATAAAAGGAACAACTAACAAATTATAACTTTTTCTGAGTTCTGCATATTTTATTACTTTCAATTCAGTTTTTGTTTTTGTTTTTATTTTTGGTACCGGGGATTGAACTCGGGTCCTTGTGCTTGTGTAGCAGGCAGCGAAACCACTGAGCTAAATCCTCGGCCCCAACTTTTTTTTTTTTGGTACCGGGGATCAAACTTGGGACCTTGCGCTTGCGAGGCAGGCGCCGTCAATTCAGTTTTTCTATAAAAACTTTTTAAAGTTAAAAAAGAAAATGAGCCAGGCATGGTGATGCATGCCTTTAATTCCAACACTCTGGGAGGCTGAGGAGGAAGGTCATAACTTTAACCCCAGTCTGGGCACTTTAGTCACTTAGGGAGACTCTGTCTCAAAAAAATATATTTTAAAAAGGACTGGGGATATAGCTCAGTGCAAAGGCCCTGATTCATTCCCCATTATCACACACACATGGAAGGAAGGGAGAGAGGGAGGAAGGGAACAAAAAAAATATTGTTTGGTTCTTGTGATTTTTGAGAAAGTATTCTTAATTGAGCTTACAACCAACCCAAAATCTTCTGAAAATTATAAGGGAGGGTAAGACTTAACAACAAAACTGAGTACCTTAAATTCTAGTGTAATGCCTTACACTTAGCAAAATTGGTCATTTGAGGGAATAAGACTGCTTTTTTTGTTTTCTTTTAGAGTACTGGAGGTTGAACCAAGGGCCTTCCCATTGAACTGCATCTCCAGCACACTCTTCTTGTGCCCCCCTTATTTATTTTTTGTTTGTTTGTTTATTCATTTGTTTGGTTAGGGACAGGGTCTTTCTGAGTTGCTCAGGCTGGGCTCAAACTTCAGTCCTTCTACCCCAGCCTCCTAGAGTTAGATTATAGGCATCCACCACCACTCCTGGCTAAGACTGCTTTCTTTGTAATGGCTTTTATTGCTGGGGAAAATTTAAGGTGGCAGTGACCGGCATAGAAATAATCACACCACGGATGCTGGTAAGCATCTGGACATGTCAGTTAAAATTTCTTGGTGTAATGTATTTGTTGGTTTTAGAGGATTTAAGAACCTGAAATTTAGCATAGTTTTGGGAAGAATGCTATTGATGCCTAAAAGTGAGGTTGAGATAATTAGCTTGTGTAACATTTTTTGTTTTCCTGGCAATTCATTATAAGTTCTCTGTACAATTCTTGCCTGGGAGCTCTGAGGGCAGTAGGAAGTATGTAAACATTGTGCACTCTAATGGAAGAAACTGAGTCCATTTTGAAAATTTAAAATAATGATATGATCTTTAACCCAAGCTCGATCTGAGGTATGAATTTGGATAAATATTTCAGAGGACTTCCTAAATACTCACTATACAAAAACTCCAATGTTAAAAATAAGTTGTAGGCTAATTGATACTTATCAAAAAGATTTCTTGCATGCTCTTTAAATAGAAATGACCTTATTACAATTAAAATATGAAACTTTTTAAAAACACTTAACATCAGTTTTTATTTGGCATTAGGTAAGTTAAATTTTAGGCATTAGGTAAGTTAATTATTTATTTATTTGTTTGTTTGTTTATTTATTTATTTTTTTGGTACCGGGAATCGAACTCGGGACCTTGTGCTTGCAAAGCTGGTGCCAAACCACTGAGCTAAATCCCCGACCCCAGGTAAGTTAATTATATTGTTGCTCACTAGTCTTACAGTGAGTTTGGAAGGAACACGTTTTATGCATAATTTCAGAAGTTTATTGAGTCATGGGAATGATACCCTGTTTCTGGTCATACATCATGTTTAAAACACAGTCATCAATAAAAAAGGGACTTCTAAAAATAAAACATAGTCAAGGTTTCATCTACAAATAACACCACTCCCCCCTTTTTAAATATTTAAATTAAGAAAGACTTTATATATATATACAGTGACTACC